CATCTGAGGGCTGCTGTAGGACAAATGTTTGCGGACTGGATGAGTTAAATGAGGTATTACGGAAGGAATGTAATCTGCATTGAGGGCGAGTTGTGTTTCAATTAGCGTTTTTCAATTCAAATGAAGTTGTGTTTTCTTTTTGAGCTTTCCAGAAAGTCATGAGAGTCATTTATGTGGCCGCAGTTGGAAACGCAAAGGGAATCCGGGGCTTTGACTTTTGACCTGCATTGCAGATGAACCCCATATATCATTGGTTCTGGATGATCCGCATTCATCTCAACATCTGCACATGATTGCGCTCTGCTCCAGTGGTGCTTGGCATTTCTAAAATATCTCCTAAAATACTTTGCGCAGTTCAATTCATCACAGTTAGCTTATTAGATGCTTTTATCTACCGAAAACACATGCAAGATGTTCGCTTTATCACAGATGAAATAGATTAGAATGGAGCAAAACCATTATGACTATATTATAGTTTTAACTTGATTTATAGAAGGCAGAGATTAAAATGTCACCCAGTGTAGCTAGTTTATATAGCAAACAATTAAGTCAGGCATATTTAGAGCAATTTATGACATTTGACTATATTTACGGTTCACAGTTTGGCCCCAAAATACTCATAAATTGTCATCTGAAGTCGGTAAATGTTGGCACAATCCTTCAAGTTTATTAAAATATGACTTAATGTAGTTTGATCAGACGTTTGTCATATAATGTTTTCTTGATTTACTTATGTACATTTAATTTGATGCAGACACCAAAATGTGACGTCTTGATTTTGGCCTGATTTTGATTATATTATATTATATTATATTATATTATATTATATTATATTATATTATATTATATTATATTATATTATATTATATTATATTATATTAATTATATTATATTATATTATATTATATTATATTATATTAATTTTATTATATTATATTATATTATATTATATTATATTATATTATATTATATTAATTATATTATATTAATTATATTATATTATATTATATTAATTATATTATATTATATTATATTATATTATATTATATTAATTATATTATATTATATTATATTATATTATATTATATTATATTATATTAATTATATTATATTATATTAATTATATTATATTATATTAATTATATTATATTATATTATATTAATTATATTATATTATATTATATTATATTATATTATATTATATTATATTATATTATATTATATTATATTATATTATATTATAATTATATATAGTATGTATTGTCAAAATGTTAAATAAAAGCTTGGTTAAAAGCATAATTTAGAGTTCTTAGCCTTTCAAAGTCTAAATCTATTGCAGTGGCCCCCTCTGCTGGAGACTCAGCGCACTCGCACCTCTCAAACACCAACATGCTATTTTTATATTAAGCATGCGTCATTTTTATTCTCTCTGTACAGTAGATTCACATGCATGTTATTGATTAAAGCTGAGATTTATCTAGTTTATGTTAAATAGTTTTTAATATGAGGATTTCACATTTCTTCTACTTTTTCATTTGCATTGATTACAGTGTTTGATATTACCTTGATTTTAATGTTAGCTTAAATACACGATATGATTGCTAAATTTATTTTGTTGCATGGTACTTTCTCTCTCTTTAAAGTTAAAGTTGCTTTATTGGAATGACATTTTGTCCAGTTTGCCAAAGCATATTAGATATTTATAAAATATGTAATACACAGTTGAAGTCAGAATTTTTCGTCCCCCTTTGATTTTTTTTTCTTTTTTAAATGTTTCCCAAATGATGTTTAACAGAGCAAGAATATTTTTACAGTATGTCTGATAATATTTGTTCTTTTGGGGAAAGACTTATTTGTTTTATTTCGGCTTGAATAAAAGCAGTTTTTATTTTTTTAAACACCATTTTAAGGTCAATATTATTAGCCCCTTTAGGCTATATATTTTTTCGATAGTCTACAGCACAAACCATCATTATACAATAACTTGCCTAATTATCCTAACCTGCCTAGTTAACCTAATTAAACTAGTTAAGCCTTTCAATGTCACTTTAAGCTGTATAGAAGTGTCTTGAAGAATATCTAGTCTAATATTATGTGCTGTCATCATGACAAAGATAAAATAAATCAGTTATTAGAGATGAGTTATTAAAACTATTATGATTAGAAATGTGCTGAAAAAAAATCTGCTCTCCGTTAAACAGAAATTGGGGAGAAAAATAAACAGGGGGGTGAATAATTTTGACTTCAACTGTAGCATTCATCCATTTTGCCTTCGGCTTAATCCTTATTTCAGAGGCCACCACAGCAGAATGAACCGCCGTACAGTAACATAATCAAATTAATAATAAAAATACATTCATTCATTAATTTTCCTTTGTCTTAGTCAGAGATTTACCAGGGTAGTCGACAGCGGAATGAACCACCTGATAAAAAATACAGTAAATGAAAAATAAATACCAGAGGAAAAAATTGATAAAACATAACATTTATAATATAAACAATAATAAAGTGTAGATTATTTAAATTAGACACATGAATTTAGGCTAACCATTTCTTATTATGTGAATTGTGTACACATTTTGCAGCCAGTTTAGAATATAGCAATTTTTTTCATTCATTCATTCATTCAATCATTCATTCATTCATTCATTCATTCATTTTCTTTTGGCTAAGTCTCTATTTCAGAGTTCGCTACAGTGGAATGAACCGCCAACTATTCCAGCATTACGCAGAGGATGCCCTTCCACTTCCATTGTTTGACTGTGAGGGAAAGCGGAGCACCTGGAGGAAGCACACATCAACATGTGGAGAACTTGCAAAGTCCACAAAGAAAGGCCAACCGACTTAGCCGGGACTCGAACCAGCAGCATTCTTGCTCTAAGGCCACAGTGCAAACCACCGAGCCACCGTGCCGCCTAGTATTTTTTTTTTAATTAAATGAACATTAAATTATATGTCTCTCTCTCATGGTTAAAAAAGGCAAATGTCAAAGTGTTATTAATTACTTTGATAAATGATTAATAAAATTAAGAAAAACATGGAAGATCTATTAAATTTTGAAATTATTTGGTGTTGTCGAGGACTCTTGGGCTGAGTTTTTAATGTAAATGTAGTGTTTGCTTTATAATGTTTTTCTAATAAGTTAATATATAGTTATTATTTGTTTATAAAGTTTCATATATATATATATATATATATATATATATATATATATATATATATATATATATATATATATATATTCATAGTTGACGAGTTTTCAGTGAGCGTCTTCCACTCATGCTGCACATGTGACTGACAGACAGCAGCTGCCTTCCTACTATTAATAATGCCTCTCAATGATATCAGAAAACAAACAGATAAAACATGGATGTCATGCATTTAAAGCACCTTATAGTCAAATACACTGAATTTTAAAAACATGCACAAACACAATCTTCTGCATGTCAACACATTTCAGTGGTATATAAAGTGTTTGCAGTTCAGCTGCACTATATTTTTGTCGAATCTTTCATGTCTTCACTTGCTGCCAGATGCAGTGAAAGACTATCTGCTGTGTACGTCAGCAAAAACTATTCAGTCTCCTTCAGGTGTCACCTTTTCCCTTACTAAAGATGGTCTACTTCTGTTTTGGACAGAGCTTCTCTTTGAGATTTCTTCATTCAAAACAATGATTGTGTATTATTTCAAATATATTATTTATTGTACTTGTTACTAATTGAACTATGCCAAGAATTTAAGATCAGATGCTCTCGCTCTGCCGATTACACATCTTTTTACGATAAATGGCGACCCCTCATAACTTACTTTCAGTCGCTTCTAAGTTTGTCCACTGATTTTTCCAATTCATTGACATCACCTCCTCCACCCCCCCTTTCTCCCCCCCCTACTTTTATCATGTTTTTTTAATTTTTTTATTAATTTTTTTACTATTATTATTTTATTTACTCCTTTTTATTTAATATTGTTGCTGTTATTATTGTCATGTTATTTATCATAATTCTTTATATATATAAATGTTTTATTGTTCTGTCACAAAAATTTTAAAGTGGAAAGTCTTTCACTATGTCTGTCATATCAGTCATTTATGTTCTTTTCACTCAATAAAAAAAATAAAAAATAAAAAAATTATATTATTATATTAATTATGACTTTTATTTGAACAATGTGTTGTCTCTTTATGTCATGAATGTTCCTAAAGCTGCCTAACAAAGCTGATATTTGAAAGCACCAAGATAAACATGCACATAACCCACAGGTTCATCCTTTTTGATATATCCTCTATATTTACATGACCACACCCCTTACAGCTGATAGGCTGCACGTGTTTCAGCACAGTGGTTCTCAAAGTGGGGGTCGGGACCCCCCGAGGGGTCGCGGGGCAATGAAGGGGGGTCGCCTGGTGATTTCCAAAAATCTATTTATTTTTATTAAACCATAAGAATTACCATATTTTATCCATAACTATACTGAAAATAAAAATAGTCGTTTATAGTTACTATATACTATATAGTTACTATAGTAGCTTATAGTTCTATTGGATTGCGACCCCTGGGGTAATTACATTATATTAAAGGCAGCAATAGCGTCAGATGCATTTTGATTTTATAACATCAGGTTATACTTTTTGGCACATTTAAAGCACTGACACAAATTTAATTGGTGTGTCTGCGTCATTGCATGCAAGGTTTCTGTATTATAACCACCTCAGAGGATATTGGGGGTCGTTGCAAGTCACTGGCGTTGTTATTTTGGGGGTCGCGGGCTGAAAAGTTTGGGAACCCCTGATTTAGCACACAATGTTCAAAGATGTTTTTGAAGATTGCTTATGCAACAGGTGTTATATTATATTTATTAATTTCACTCAAAATTCTCCTTGTTATTCATCAATTATTTTTATTTAATTGTGTATATTCAAAGTTGTTCTTTAAATATCTTATATTTCAGAGTTAATGAAACCATGTGTTTGTTTTCAATCTATTGGTGTATTTTGAAAAATTGCGCGTGGCCCCTTTAAGTGTCGTTTTCCGGTTCCGCCTGCTCTCACTCAGTTCGCGGCAAACGCGATTGAGGAGAGGTGAGTTTTACTGAAGCTCCGGTTAAAATATAGCATATAGGTGTTGTTTATCATAATAACACATGTAATTTTGTTCTAAATTGCATTACATTGATGTTTAAACATATATGAGAGGTTAAATGTATATGAGGCATGTATTGTGGGTAAAGTTTATAAGCATGAATGTGCAAGCTTTGTAGTGAGAATTATCCCTTTCACTAATAGGTTGGTGAGCTCCTAAGGAAGGCACATACTCAGCTTTGCCATTTGTTTGCTTTATTCATGCAGAATAAAAGCCTGTTAATTCCTATATGACTGGTTCCTTTCGGCTAATCACAACACAACGCAGAGTAAAGCGAGGACCGGTCACACTTACTGCACATTCATTCATTTTCATCCGCTTTACCGGGTCGCGGGGGCAGCAGTCAAAGAAGGGAACCTCAGACTTCCCTCTCCCCAGACACTTCCTCCAGCTCCTCCAAGGGCATTTCCAGCCCAGCCAGGAAACATAGTCTCTCCCCAGGTAGGCGTTCAGGAGGCATCCGAAACAGATGCCCGAGCCACTTCAGCTGACTTCTCTGAACGTGGAGGAGCAGCGGCTCTACTCCGAGATCCTCCCGGGTGTCAGAGCTCCTCACCCTATCTATAAGAGTGCTCCCTCCCACCCGAAGGAAACCCATTTCAGCCGCTTGTATCTGAGATTTTGTCCTTTCGGCCATGACCCAAAGCTCATGAGCATAGGCAGTGGCGTAGCGTACGGGCCCGCAGGGCACGCACCGCGGGGGGGCCCCGCGTGATTAGGGGGCCCCGCGTCGTCACGATTTTCAATAGTTGAAAATCCAGCAACCGCAATAATCAAACTCTTGGGAACAACTGTGGTCGGAACCAAAGTTCACAGGTCTGTGTTCTCTAAACACCTCTCAAGCGGTGGACTACTTTATTCTGATTGCTTGCCGCCGAACCGCGTCATATCGTAGCTCAAAGTTGACTTGATTTGATCTCTCCTTGACGCTCACACACCGGAGAAGACGCTCCGCGCTGTTTCTTGCCGCCGGTTCTCATTGAAAATGAATGACTTCTGGCTACTTTGACGCTCTCGCCGCTTTCGGTTTGTGATCGCTCCTCAGTTTGTGAAGGCTTCCGCGTTGTCGCTCCACCCCGCCTGCCTTCCCCGCTCCTTAATTTGTGATCGCGTCACCAATACATCAGGGGGCCCCGTCAGTGATCCCTGCAGGGGGGCTTCAGCATTTTGCGCTACGCCACTGAGCATAGGTGAGAGTAGGAACATAGATTCTTAGAATTGAGAGCTTTGCCTTTTGGCTCAGCTCCTTCTTCACCACAACAGACATTGACCGCATTAATGCTGCCGCTGCACCAATCCGCCTGTCAATCTCATGCTTCATCCTTCCTTCACTCATGAACAAAACCCCAAGATACTTGAACTCCTCCACCTCGGGTAAGGACTTTCCTCCAACTGGGAGATGGCAAACCCCCTTTTTCTGGTGGAGCTTCAAGGCCTCGGACATGGAGGTGATGATTCTCAATAATCACTTATTGCACAATTAACTTTTATATGATAATAATAATAAAAAAAAACTGATGCAAAGGGTTTTTACATCAGCAGGGGACATTGTAAATGTGCACAAATTTCAGCTTGTGCCAGAAAACATAGTGACTGAAAGAAGATTGCATCAGGTTTACAGAGTGAAATTCTAAAAGTCCAACGCTGGAAGACCATAGCAAACGGTTTGGATTATATTTTGATAAGCAGTCAGAAGATGTAAGAAGGTGTCATGTTGTGTAGTGCCTTATAAACTAATAAAAGAATCTTAAAGTCTATCCTTTGGTGCACTGGTAACCAGTGTAATGGTATTAGTGCTGGTGTGATGTGTTCTCGTTTCTTCATTGAAACTCTGGCTGCTGCATTTTGTATCAGTTGCAACTTCCTTATAGAACCCTGAGGTAAACCAGTACACATAGCATTGCAGTAATCAAGCCGAGAGAAAATAAAAGCATGAATTAATTTCTTAGCATCATCAAAAGATAGGAAAGAACGATGTCTGGCAATATTTCTCAAATAATAAAAACTTGTTTTTGTAACTTGATTAATATGAGATTTAAAATTAAGATCACAGTCGAAAATACCACCCGGGTTCTTTCATTCTTTTTTGGATTGTAATTTGGATTTCCCCACAATAAGAATTTCTGTTTTATCTTTATTCAACTTTAAAGGGCCATGAAACCCGCTCGTTTCAGCAGGGTGTTTTCACACCTCTACTTTGGAAAAAGTCAGAAAAGTGGGCGTGTCCAGCTCTGTTTAGGGGGGAGTGTCGGAGGAACTAAAGTGGGATGGTGTGGGAGTGTCTATTTGTGCACGCGCGAGTTTCAGAGTCAAAATACACACATACCAAGTGATGGTGTTTAACCTACATGGACATCTGTAGTCGAATTATTTGCCAAATTATGAAATGGTGGACTTTAACTGCAGTTTGGCTCTTTCATTCAGGTATTCATTCATGCCCCTCGCGACAAACAAGATATTTGATTCGAGGATCTGCTCTAAGCGTGTATTTTTCATGCAATGTTTGATACCGCACGGCGAATGAGAGAAAAAAAAACTCCGCATTTCCCGGAAACTTAGATGCACACGGCAGGTAGTGTCAGAAAGCCGCATGTGTTATGCCGGTCACAAAATGCGGTAAAAACCCTACACAAGGTTAAAGTTTGGTTGTGGTGCTAACATGTTTACACTCGGTGCAATAGTTAACTTAGTTAGATACAAACAAACTGAATAAACAAAGAGCACTGGCCGCTCACTTACCAAATCTGTAGAGACAGGACAATCACCAGCAACTAGAGCCGGGTCTTTATTAAGAGGAGACGACAAGCGAATCCAGATCTCAGCGTTTGCAGATGAGAACAGCTCTCAGGTAAACAATGTTCCTCCTTAGACACGTAAGTTATTGTTGTCGAGCGTCGTGTACACTGTTAATCCACACGTGACTCCAGCTGAGCTCTCACAGAGAGAAAATGAAAACAAAACTTCACTGCAGCAAACTATAAAAGCAACACTTCATGCTTGTTTTGCCAACACATAGTCATAAAAGGAGTTCTCAAGATCTACCTGAGCTCAAACTCCCCTCTCGCCTTGAAAACCGGAGGGAGCCCCGGGCTCAAGCATGTTATGAACTCAGGGCTCTCCCCCGGGACAGCATGCCAAACACGCTTTATAATCAATCATCAGCTAAGTGTGAACTCTTGAAAGATGGAGTGTTGTAAAGAAAGTGTCTGGTGCATATGAAGATGTGCACATTCAGAATTGTACAATGTTTTCTAAAATACCTGAGGTGCTTATAAGTCTCATGTAATTTTGTTTAAAAAAAAAAAAACAACAGCATAGGTTTAAAAATTGTAATGTTTGAGATCAGTATTGTGAATTGTATTGAATCGTGAGTTGAGTAAATTGTTACGTCCCTACCTTTCAGAACGTTTTCCCTCTAATTTTGGCATTGAGTTTACTCAGTCAGTTTATTCATGCACTGTTAAGGGAACCAGTGCACACTAATGCAGTTTACAACACTCCTAATTGATTTCATTAAAGAGACAAAATCAGTTTAATGCACCTTTCCAGATAAGACGCCCTGTGTAGCTGTCCACACATTTGTGCCGCCTAGGAAAAGCTTAGCACTTGCTGACATCTTTACCCTGTTTACCCCGGCGATGGCCGTCGTCTATGATGAAACACGATTCCCCACCAATCCTACAAGTGTCAAGGAAAGATGATCGGTGGAAATGCCAGGCATACTTTCCAGTGCCATTTAGGGTTGGTGTACCCAATTCAAAAGCACTGGTGTCTAAGGGAGAGCTCATAGTCTAGAATTTACTACAGGAATCACAACAAGGTGCACTTTAAAAGCCAAGCAGAGGATTCGAATGAGGAAGGAAATCATTGGAGGTAGGGTTGCATAAAATTGGAAAAATCTGACATTGCCATATTTTGTTTTACTGCGATATATATCGATATATATATATATATATATATATATATATATATATATATATATATATATATATATATATATATATATATATATATATATATAGCGATATGAATATAATTTCAGCAGATCATTTAAATGGCTCTTTTTTGTGCAGTGGATCTGCAGATATTATAATAAATTACAAGCAAAACTAAATAAATGTTTACAGTGCTGTGATTTTCTGTGGAGTCTCACAGTCTTCAAGGGAGTTATTAAGTACATAATTTAAACAATCAAATGTAAAGTGGCATGCTCATGATTGCAGAATTAACCAAAAAATATTTTGGTTATATTTAATAATACTTTTTAGTCATTAATGAATAATCTAATCCTGCGACTATATTGCAGATACACACATTGCCGTATCGATTGCCAAATGATACAGTATATTGTTTAGCCCTAACTGGAGGTAAGCTGGAGGATATTTTGTTTTACTGCGATGTACATTGCGATATGAATATAATTTCACCAGAGGATTTAAATAGCTTTATTTGGAAAGATTTAATTTATTTAGATTATTCGGCATGATCAAGTCCTTTTCTAGAAAGTGGATCTACATATATTATAATAAATTGCAATAAAAAATAATAATAAACAATGCTTGCTTTCAGTGCAATGATTTTCTGGGGAGTCCAACAGTCTTCAAGGGAGAATTTCAATCGGATATAAAACAGCATGGTCATCATCATGTATTTTTTTTTAAATATATATAATAATATCTTTTAATCATTAATAAATAATCTAATCCTGCAATGTGACTATTGCAGATACACACATTGCAATATCAATACTCAATTGATATATTGTTTAACCCTAACTGGAGGATATTTTGTCTTGCTGTAATATATATAGCGATATGAATATAACTTCACTTCCTAATCGGCAATTGCCTCTCTGAATATCACACTAACTGTACCCAAAAAAAAAAAAAAAAAATACTAATACTACTAATACTTTCCTTCTTAGACTTTACAGACCTGAAACTTGCCTATAGCACTTCTTCATTGTTGCTCTTAGTTGTGTAAATTGCTTCCTTGTCCTCATTTGTAAGTCGCTTTGGATAAAAGCGTCTGCTAAATGACTAAATGTAAATGTAAACTTCACCAGAGGATTTGAATAGTTCTATTTGGAAAGACTTCATTCATTTCGATCGACTGGGATGATCAAGTGACTTTTTTATTTAGTGCATCTACATACATTATAATAAATCGCAAGCAAAAATAAATAAAAAACAGTGCTTGTTTTCTGGGGAGTCTAACATTATTCAAGTAGGATATGAACAATCAAATGTAAAATAGTATGTACAGCGGGAATAATAAGTATTGAACACATCATGTATTTTCTTGGGAATAATATCTCTAAATGAGCTGCTGACATGGAATTGAAGCAGATTTTGGTAAAAACCCAAACAATACAAACATACAAATAAAACTGTGTATTAACAATGGAATGACAGAAGGAGAAAGCACTGAACTACTGAAACATATTTAATACTTTTAATAAAAGGCTTTTCTTGGTGATGGCAGTGTAAAGACGCCTCTCATATGGAGAATGAAGTCTCATGCATTGCTCAGGTGAGAGTTGTTCAACAGAGTCAAAATCTTGATGCTTCTGTGGGTCTCGTCTTTAAAATCCAAGCTTTATTTTTTATTGGATTCGAGTAAGGTGATTGGCTGGGCCATTCCACAGCTTGATTTTCTTTCTCTGAATGCATCTGAGAGTCTCCTTGGCTTTGTTTTGGATCATTGTCTTTTCCACCCTGGTTTTCTCTCCATCAACATGCTAATGCAGATGTTGGACTGAAGCAGCTGAGGAAGGGTAGAGGGTTGCTGAGAGATTTCAGCTGCTGTCTGGGCTTTCACTGCCAAACTGCACCTTCCTTTCTTCATGTGTTCAATACTTTTTTCTATGTATCATTTAATATTATTATAAAGGACTTCATTTGTAAACTAATTAGATTTGTTTTCTTTGCATATGTGGATTTATTTGGGTGCTGTCAACATGTGGCGAACATTTCAGGTCAACAGCACCTTAAGAAATATGTTTTCTGAGAAAAATGGTGACCTGTTCACTACTTATTTTCCCTCCTGTCCCCTTCAAGGGGATAAATAATTAAAAATCTATATTTAATAATATCTTTTAATCTTTAATAAATAATCTAATCTTGCAATGTGACTATTGCAGATACACACACTGTGATATCGATGCACAAAGGGTATATTGCTCAGTCCTAACTGGAGGTAAACAATGTCAGCAAGGAAGCCTTCAGCGAACAAGAACATTAAAAAGCTGCGTACTATAAGCATGGTGTGCAGCTTAACGCGGAGCTGGCAGCAATGGGTGAGCGAAAATGAAGATAAACAGTCCAGCGAGCCCAGCGGATGGGCACCATGTTACGCAGGAGATCCCAAAGATGATAAAAAAGAAGCAGCAAAGATTAAACTCTCTCAAAAAGCCCTCCAAACCACTACAAGTGAGAATAAGGATAACGGGGAGCCCGCCGGAGAGTCGCGCATCAAAACCACACCTGTTGTAAAAACTGTGACGAGGGACGTTCAGGAAAGGAGTGCAGGAATTGACTTTTTGACTAAACGTATCTGTAAGGACCCGGAGACGGATGAACTGGACAAGATGTTGAGTAAGAAAGGGTCTCCAACACGCCGCCGGAAATGCTCTAATATGGTTTCGGAGCTGACGCGGGGCTGGAAGGAAATGGAAAAGGAGAAAAAGCAGGATCATGGGGATAATGAGGATACAGGAACCAATCAGGAGGAGTCCGAGAATAACAGGAGCAATGAACATACAGAGTCTGCAGTCGCAATCAAGAGGTCCTCTGTTCCTGGGTGAGTTCTGGACTCCTACAGACATACATGCAGTTGAAGTCAGAACTATTAGCCCTCCTGAATTATTAGCCCCCCTGTATATGTTTCCCCCAATTTCTGTTTAAAGGAGAGCAGGTTTTGTTCAACACATTTCTGCACATAGTGTTAATAACTCATCTCTAATAACTGATTTCTTTTATCTTTGCCATGATGACAGCACATAATATTGGACTAGATATTCTTCAAGACACTTCTATACAGCTTAAAGTGACATTTAAAGGCTTAACTAGGGTAATTAGGCAAGTCATTGTAGAACTGTTTTGTTTTTCTGGAGACAATCCAAAATTAATACTGCTTAAAGGGGCTAATAATATTGACCTTAAAATAGTTTAATAAAATTAAAAACTGCTTTCATTCTAGCCGAAATAAAACACATCAGACTTTTTCCAGAAGAAAAAAATATTATAGGAAATATTGTGAAAAATTCCTGAATCTGTTCAACATCGTTTGGGAAATATTTGAACAAGAAAAATAAATAAATAAATAAATCACAGGAGGGCGAATAATTCTGACTTTTACTGTAGGTGAAATCAAGGGGGATTTAAAAAAATACTATTAAATACCATGTTGTGGCTTGTTAATAACACTAACTATGTTTCCATCCACCATTTTGTATGTGCATTTTGGAATATTGCACAAAAAAAATGCTTGATGGAAACTCCAAGATGTGCATATTTTTTTGTTTTTATTCAATAAGGAAAAATGCACAAAATAATGGAAACACATTTGGCTCTAATGCATGCTTCAATGAGAAGAGAAAAGAAAGGGGATCAATTTTGAAATTACTTAAAATTGCTACAGCTAAAAGAGTTAAGTGACTATTACATAATTACATTACACTTGTTTCTTGACTGTTTTGATTTTAGTTTTTTTTTAGTTTTTTATCTTAGATTGTTGTGTGTTTTGTATATACTTGTTTGTTTCCTTATGTAAAGCGCCTTAGTTCCCATATAGAAATCTGATATATAACAACTATGTGTAAATTACAGATATGACAAACAAGTTCATGTTTGGATTTCACATACTGTATAAAAAAATATATGCCATACTTTATACAACAAATATAGCAAAAATTGTTGTTTTCATATACGAGATTTCCATTTATGGAAATATGCATTATAAAACAAAAAAGTATGATCATTTATAGTTATTGTTATTATTATTTAATAACTAATGTTATTTTTTAAATTTATAATAAATTGAGGGAATTTTTTAATTGTAATTTTTTTCACTTTTTACAGATTTCCTTATGGGGAAATTTGCATTATTATTATTATTATTATTATTATTATTAATAATAATAATATTATTACTATTAATATTATTACGTATGATAGGTTGAGGTAGTTTATTTTTTAAGTTTTCACTTTTTAAATATTTCCTTATAAGGAAATATGCATTAAAGGTGCTACATTTATTAGATTAAAGTGATTATAATCATTTGTTTAGGTATAACAAGTTGAAGTGATTTGAATTGTTCTCATTTTTTTCAATGCACTGCATAGTAGCCCTTTAGCAAGTGTTGTTCAACTTTTACACTCAAACTCTAAATATTTTTCAGGGGCAAAAAGGACATCGAGGATGCCAACAAAATAAACAACTTGTCCAAGAAATACAGCACTGTGGGCAACTTAAAAAGCCGCTGGCAAAACTGGGCCTCAGAGCACACCATCAATCAGAAGCTGAACCCCTTCAGTGAGGATTTTGACTATGAATATTCAATGTCGACACGTCTGCACAAGGGCGAGGAGGGATACGGGAGACCGAAAGAGGGCAGTAAAACTGCAGAAAGGGCCAAACGTGCAGAAAAACACATCCACCGTGAGATAGACGATATGTGTTTCGTCATCAGGACCATGGCGGACCCCGATCCAGACGGATACACCAGAGTGACATTTGGAGAGCTGTTCGACAGATACGTGCGGATCTCCGATAAAGTCGTGGGAATATTAATGAGAGCCCGGAAGCATGGAAAAGTGGCTTTTGAAGGGGAAATGCTATGGCAGGGTCAAGATGATGATGTCATTATTACTCTGCTAATATAGTCTTCATTCCTCATTCTTCATGCATAGGAACAAATGTTGCTATTGGGTAAATACAGAAGGACTTTTCATTTTCAATAACCTGTTGTTATGCTGAGAAACGAACCCCTGCCATAAAATGCACCCCCTCGGAAATGTGCAACTTAAATTGATACATAGGGTGTCACGGTGGCACAGTGGGTAGCACTGTTACCTCACAGCAAGAAGGTCGCTGGTTCAAGCCCCGGCTGGGTCAGTTGGCATTTCTGTGTAGAGTTTGCATGTTCTCCCCATGTTAGCGTGGGTTTCCTCCGGGTGCTCCGGTTTCCCTCACAAGTCCAAAGACATGCACAATAGGAGAATTGGGTAAGCTAAATTGTCTATAGTGTATGTGTGTGAATGGGCATGTATGGGTGTTTCCCAGTGATGGGTTGCAGCTGGAAGGGCATCCTCTGCGTAAAACATGCCGGATAATTTGGCGGTTCATTCCGCTGTGGCAACCTGAGATTAATAAAGAGACTAAGCCGAAATTGTACAGTACTGTACAGCTTGCAAGTTTACAGACAGAGTTTTCTGAGCTCTCTCAGCTCATGTGTGTGTGTGTGTGTGTGTGCAGGTACATGTGGTTTGCAGGGACACAAAGTTGTATAATGAAATGGATCAGACTTTGTTGTACTCTTTTAGGTCGGTGTGTCCTTGTAATTCAAAACGCTTAAAAATATGCTTTATTGGGGTCTTTTGATATTAAATTTTTGGGTTGGGTTTTGGGGTTGGGCCATGTAATAAGTGTGTGTGTGTTGTTGTGTGTGCACACTTTGCATGAGATGGCATGTTTAATGCATTGGTGTGAACACGTAGTAAGTACTTAAATAAGAAACTGCTTAAATGATTCAGATTTTGTTTGTTGTTTCTAACTATTGCACTGTACAGTAAAGTTGAACAGGGCAGCTTTGGGAGTTCATTATTATTCGTACTGTACAGTAAGTGACACACAGTGTGTAATACTATAAGTTATCCAGAAGAGGGAGCAGTGCACCAACACCAGCGTTTTCCCTTTGCCATGCATTAGCAGGTATTATGAAACTGGATCTCTGAATTTAGTACATTTTGTACTTTTAAGAAAAAGCAAATATTTGAGCAAAACAGACAGTGTTTGTGTTTTTTTTAAAGTATTATAGTCTACACTCTAAAAACACAGGGTTAAAAACTACCCAAATTGGGTTGTTTTTAATCCTTCTGCTTTGTAAATATGGGACCGAACACATCAGGGGTTAAATTAACCCAAGTAATTGGGTTATTATTTTTAACCCTATAAATTAAGGCTTTCTACCCAATAATTGTGTAACCTCGAGGAGTGACATAGACAACTGAAGGTAAGATCCAAAAATGCAGGTTTAATCATCGTCAGGCAAGCAAAGGTCAACAGGTATAAACAGATATGTGTAATGTAATGTAAAAAATGTAATGTAATGTGTATTTGTATAGCGCATTTATTGTGTATGGCCATACACCCAAAGCGCTTCACAATCATGAGGGGGGTCTCTCCACACCACCACCGGTGTGCAGCATCCACTTGGATGATGCGACGGCAGCCACAGGACAACGGCGCCAGTGCGCTCACCACACACCAGCTATTGGTGGAGTGGAGAGACAGTGATAGAGCCAATTCGGTGGAAGGGGATGATTGGGAGGCCATGATCGTAAGGGCCGATAGAGGGACTTTGGCCAGGACACCGGGGTTACACCCCTGCTCTTTCACGAGAAGTGCCATGGGATTTTTAATGACCACAGAGAGTCAGGACCTCGGTTTAACGTCTCATCCGAAAGACGGCGCCCACTGACAGTTTAGTGTCCCCTTCACTTTTACTGGGGCATTAGGACTCACGCAGACCACAGGTTGAGCGCCCCCTGCTGGCCTCACTAACACCACTTCCAACAGCAACCTGGTGTTCCCTAGTGGTCTCCCATCCAGGTACTGACCAGGCTCAGCCCTGCTTAGCTTCAGTGAGTAACCGGTCTTGGGCTGCAGGGTGACATGGCAGTGGCCATGTGGCTGTGTACGTCAGGGGTCGGCAACCCAAAATGTTGAAAGAGCCAAATTGGACCAAGAAAACAAAAAACAAATATGTCTGGAGCCACAAAAAATGTAAAGCCTTATATAAGCCTTATAATGAAGGAAACACATGCTGTATCTATAGTAGCTATATTAGCCTACTATAAAAATGACTAAATTGGCTACAAATACATAATGAGCTTTTATGATTAAATAGCCACTGAAATCAGGTGGTTGGTGTTTATTTTGTTGTCATTAAAACACTTCAGCACAGCCTCTTGTCTTTTAGTGTTATTAATTTGATCATTTCTTCTTGCGGCCCATCAGAGTTCACATACCTGCAAAAAAGCGCATTGAATATCGGTCACATCACAGGCAATTGAGTATGCTGGCACTGAATTAATGTCCTTGGTTTGCTGATCGGTGATGTTACCTACCATTTTAATAGCCTTTTCCTTCACTGTCTTAGCGGAGAGAGGTATATCTTTATTTTTTTGTATTATCTTGGTTTTGTTTTTAAAGTTTGCAAATAGGTGTTCTAATATGTCATACCATCTTTGAACGGTTTTCCATGCTTTATTATCTCCTGGTTTGTTTACAACAGCCACCTGCCTAGCATCCCACCCTGCTGATAGAAACGTGTGTCGCAGGCTATGACGCAAATCTTCGTTGACAGAAATGTTGAAATTAAATATTAATTCTACACACTTTGACAACATTTGAAAACGTTAAAAATGTTTGTCCTCCTATAGAAATCATATTAAAACAAAAAAATATATTAACCTCCCCCATCTTTTTGCATTTTCAAACATTTTTGAAAAAGCTCCAGGGAGCCACAAGAGCAGCGCTAAAGAGCCGCATGTGGCTCTAGAGCCGCGGGTTGCTGACCCCTGGTGTAGGTAGTAAAGAATCGTAACCGGTAACAAGCAAGAGGTCAAAAAGGCAGGCAGGGAGAACAAGAATACAACGCTAGGTTAAAAACACAGGAAAACTAGACAGGAATAATGCTTTGTAATGTCATCTATACAGCTAACAAGACTCGGCAAACTGAATGGGTGAGTGTGTGGCTTAAATAGTGTGTGCAATCAGTCTCTGACAATCCTCAGGTGGTGTGAATGTAATCAGTTTAGATGAGGAAGCATGTGTGAGTGTGACCGGAGTGCATGTATGAAAATGTAGTCCATAAATGGCGGATTTGTAGTCCATGGTTATTGTTAGTGCAAACCAGCAATCTTATGGGATATGATCGCTGGTAATCGTGACAAATTGGTTATTTTTACTTAAATAATAGGTTAATTTAATCCAAAAATGCCTGCGCAAAGATGACCCAGCAATTGTGTTGTTTTGACTCGGCATCACTGAGGTACGGTGGGGGATATGCAGCTTTGCTTACAGGTGTACAAAAGGTAGTAAGAAATTATTTAATTCAGAAAGTTCTGACTAAGGGCTGCTATGAGCATGAATCTCATTTTAATCATCTGAAAACGCAAGGAATCTGTGTTTATATTACACTATTTTCATTGCATTTAAACAAATTAGTACACAATATGTGGTATCCCAGTCAGCCCCTGCTGTGAGTTGATTTGACCCAAAGAATTGGGTTGAAACTACCCAAGACTCTGAAAATAACCCCCAAAACTTACCCAAATGCCTCAACCCAAGATTTGGGTAGAAAAAATAACCCCATATTTTTTAGAGTGCATACATAATCCCACATACTCATTCACAGATATTGTCTTTCAAGGTTTTGAGGACATTTGGAAGTTGTCCACTTTCAAGAAGATACAAATCATTAGTCTTTCCAGGATGATCATATAAAACAAAACTATTTTATCTTTTATAATATGTAACATTCACAACAACACATGCAGCAATGTTACAGTATGAACTGCTAGGCTCATTTGTAATGAGTTTTTGCTTTTGTGAACAGTAATTTGTTACAGCAAAGTGAGCAAGCTGATAAGTAATGCCAAGCATTCCATCATTTGGTTCAGACTTTTGTCTGGAAACCAGAAAGACAAGAGCCGACTGTAATCTACAGGAACGCAGATCAAAAGTCATTACAGGAAGGGCTGCATCATGAGATAAAAATGTGGTGTAAAACTCTACCTGGAACTGTCGGAAATATGAGCTGTTTTTTAAATGTGGGCCGGTCAGTTTTTTTATTTTATTTGTTTATTTTTTATGCATCTTTTTTACATGCAGGCAGCTTTTATCTCTTCCAAGATGTGAGTATGATGATGACGATAATACTACTAATAATAAATGTTAAGCATTTGGCCCAATCGGCACTCACATACATTAAATGTTTAAATATCTATTAAATATGGTACTGCTGATTTTATTTCACCATTTGTACACCAAATGCATGTTATTATTATGGAAGGGCATCCGCTGCGTAAAAACGTGCTGGATAAGTTGGCGGTTCATTCTGCTGTGGCAACCCCTGATTAATAAAGGGACTAAGCCGACAAGAAAATGAATGAATGAATGAATGAATAAATGAATGAATGAATGAATAAATAAATGAATGAATGGATGTATGAATGAATGAATGAATGAAATAATTTAGCATGATTGTGTTCAGACTTTATAATTCATTTGCATGTGGGTAAAAGATTAATAAATTTAATTTGATTGACTCTAGTTTCGTGTCACAACAGACAGAAGTTTTCAAAACATGCACACTTTAGTAATGCCTCACAGCATATGAATAATCTGTGTTAAAAATAAACCAATCAATGCATTACTTTAAGTATAAGTTTCAGACTTAATTCAATAAAATTAAGAGGCTAGGAATTTCTAATAAATTTAACAAACAGTTACAAATAAACAGCAAGTAAAGTGAGCATTGAAGTGGACTTTATTCCAACTTTTTACTTTTAAATACTGTACCAAACTCTTGGTTTGCACAGGTTCATTCTGAAAATGTTGCCCGATAAACATTTCTGGAGATCACAAACTATGTTGCCAGAGGAAACGGATGAGTGCATTTAGTCTTTAAAATGAATGCTACAAGGCGTTCAAGGTATGATGCTGTTCCTTTTCGCACAAACCAGCTGACCGCCTACCTCCGTATGGACGGCTTTCCCGCTATTACCAATTTTTCCAATGGCTTGCTGCCAGGCCCGGATTAAGAACTCAGGGGCCCCTGGGCACATTGTCTTGTAAGGCCCCCTACCACCCCTATAGTTGAATTTAAAAAATAAGAATAATGTAATAATTTTTAAATAAAATTAATCTATAATTTGTTGCCCACAAATTTAAATAAATGCTATATAGTACATATGTATTTATAGTCTACAAAGATTTAACTTATTTTTCAAAGCATTGAATAAAAATATTAATAAAACTATATATATATATATATATATATATATATATATATATGTATGTATGTATATGGTATTTTAATGTATTGCTTTTACAAACTTATAAAGCATATTATTGCCATGGCATATAACGCACAATGCTTCTCCAATCCAGTTCTATGAATCTGAGTTCTATGAATCTGAGTCTTTCATAATACAAACACTGATTTACTGTGTCTCTCCTTCTCTCCCTGTATTTTCTCTACTCTTCTCGTGAAGAAGACTTGATTATAAACCTAAAAGTATCCGAAACCACAGACACTATACCTCTTCTCTCCCGTCTCTCTCCTCTTCTGGGCCTTTCTCTCTCTCTCTCCCTCTCTCTCTCCTTTTCTGTCTGTCTCTCACACGATGAATCCAGTCCGCGCTGCCGTTAGCCTCCTCCGCCTGGTTAATGCTAGCTTCTCATCATTTAAAGTTACCATAACGTCTTCTTCTGTACCCTCATTCTCCTGATCATGGGTC